CACACACACACACACACACACACACACACACACGTACTCACGCACACCCACATACACCCCCACACACACAAACACACACACAAACACACAAACGGGCAACTGAACCCTCTTTTTAGAAAACTTACCCTTAACTTGGAATCCAATGGGAGGACAAACCATCAGTACCTTGGTTTAGGCGACTATCGTTTGCTTGTAGGCTAGGCGACTATTGTTTGCGCGAGGGGAGGAGTGGCTACCTAACCTCGTGTCAAGCATGGTCACCGTACCTCTATAGCCGGGGTCTAGCCAGCCTCGGCTATGTTGAGTGGGGCAATTCTACTCTACATGCAGAGGACTAATGGGATCAAAAGCGCTGAAATCGGCGGGAATGTGGTGAGGCTCGAATCTAAAGCGGGGCTTGATGTCGAGATGTTATCCTTATACGGATTACACCACTCCTCGACGCATTTCACAAGGGGTTCAAAAGTAACGGGCATGGTAACTTATGTGGAACGGAATGAGAATCATAAATTGGACGGGGAACTTTGGACGAATGATTTCTCTCATGAATGGTTCGTTCGGACTTTGTCTGAACTATTCCAGGAGGTTGATTTTTTTGAAAGACCCGTCAGGGGGTTAATCTTGACTTTTTTGGATAAATGGAGGCATCAACCAAATGGGTTTTTGTTTTGGAACTAGTCGGAGGGCTTCCGATACCATTCTGAGAGATTAAATGTTTTGTTTTGAGTGGCCACAAGTGGGATGGTGTTGGGATCATTATGAAAAGCTCCTCCAAATTGAAGGTTTTCAGGGGCTAAACCTGGGTCCACGTTTTGATAAGGCTTGCCAGAGGCAAAATCTGATATTATTCCATCCACTTGTGAGTTATATTGATTTAAAGCTTTTGGAGGCTAAATCCTATTTTGTTGTTGTATTGTTGTAAATTGGTGGAAGAGTTTCGGCTTAGTTCCGGACGATTGTTGAAATTGTTGTATTGTGATCGTTGCTTTCACATTAAAACTTTATAAGGATCCTGATTTCTTTTTGATGGTGAACGACGGGGACGTCGTTCAATGGGGTCCGGGAATGTTGTCGCAGCAGACACCCTTATAAGGGTATCTGCTCGGGTTTCTCAATGTCGGACGTTGTCTGACCTTTTCGTTGAAATGAAGGACTTGATGAGACTGGCGTTTGCTATAAGTTTATTCAGACTAGCCTATGACCGAGAGACTAACTTTTTTTGAACTTTAGTTCTGACGTCTGCGACATCTGAAAGTAATTACAGTAGTCGACAATTTTTGTCGAGGCCGCAGAGGCACGCAGATATGGAAACGGTAAAACTAGACCCATCCTACCTAAAATAATGACGATTCAAGGCCTAGGTACGCATAGAAGAATGAATGTGTCAGGTATGGGGCCGCGGTGCGAAAGAAACAGGGAGCTTTTTTAATTTTTCCTGGGCCCGCAAGGTTTGACTTTGAGCCAGGGGGCCGACAGGCCGATGCCGAGGCCTACCCGTTGGCTGACCTCCAAGTCGTGGATGGGCAGCCATCCACGGGAAAGGGGAAGACAGGCAGGGCCTGCAAGGCCACAAGTAGGAGAGATGGCCAGGGCAAGCTCTATAGAGGAGCTGCTCCTACTATTCTCGTAGTAGGAGTTAGCCCAGTAGGTAACGTCCCAGTGGAACGGACCTGAGATGCCCCTGCTTGGCCTAGCTCCTTTTGGAGATAACCTTTTCAAGGTATTCGGGCGTGGCCAATCTCGGTCCATGGGGGATCGAACTTGGGTCTGTATTTCAACAGATCGTGGGTTCCCCACGAACCCGAAAAACGAGAAAAAAAAAAAAAAAAACAACTAAATTAAAAACGAAGCGCCACATGGCGCCGACTGAAGTAGAAGGGACTCAAAAGTCCCCTGAATCAGTAGCAGGAGCCTGTTTTTTCGGGCAGCCTGACAGGTAAGTTTTTGTTTCTTTCTTTTTTTCATGCTAACCATTCGGACGTCCGAACCGGGACCGGGTTCTAG